CACGTTTACTAGTGCAGAAATATATGGATTTTACTTCAGTGGGAAGGCCTAGGTGTGAAGACGTGGTGTAGATCTTTAAGTAGCGTACAGATGAAAATTTTATTTAAAAAGTATGCAACATAATACTCTTCCATGCATACTAAAGTGTTCCGGTTCGTATACATTCAAAATCTTTCATTAGCAAACGGAATTACCTTAGAGAACAAATGTTTCTTTACAAGAAAAAAGATTTTTTTCATCGGGGTTTTAAATCACATATAATTCATAGATATGAGCAGAGCATCACAACCAGTTATCCAGATAGGAAATCGGTTATATCAGTCAGCTGGCGTTGATCTGAGAAAAACCATTGGTTATTCCAGATGCGGCTAATGCATTCACGTTACTTGTTTAATGGTGTAGAAAGGATTAATCGAGCGTATCAGAGGTTGCCGAAGCCGATGTGCATGAGTTTTGACTCAAAACAAAATTTCAGTTGAAGTAATTAAGCAGATCATGCAGTCCTAAAGACCTCTTGCATGGGTTCTGTAGATTATGGAGCACCTTTCCTTCCACTACAGTTTGACCTTCCTCATTTGAAGCTGGTCACTGTAGTAGATAACATGAACGGGCAACACATTTCTATAGAACACTACCGAAATCCATGCTACAAATGACTCCGTTTGGTCGTTTTTTGTACTGTTCTCTGAATAATCCTGTGAAAACTGGCGAAGCACACTCATATGCGAATTTAGGGTTGAAATGGAACGAAGGGCTGGCAGAAGCTTGGGGACTATCCCAACTGATTAGCCTCATGGAGGGTGAAATCGGTCATGGATTATCTAAGGGTCTTCAGCAACCCTATCAGGAGTGCGCTTTGTTAAGAATTATCTTGTGCAAACGTTCATCAAGTGGAGTATCTAGTGACAGAAAGTGGTAATATGGTCCATGGGATAGACCCAACAATGAGTGCTCCAAATAGAGAATGGATGTCGGACTTATTAGTAGCTCGTCGTTAAACAGTAAACTAGCAACAGACAACTCCAAGGGTCAACCAAAGTCCATAGTAAGGAAGGAAACCTATACAATGGGTGCTTTCTCAAATAAAGCGCCTTTTTACAAAAGCGCTAAGTAAATGATTCCATACCACACCAGTGATCAAATGAGGTCCAAATGATGAACTCCCAGAAAGCGGAAAGAAGACTCTCATAGTTTGTGTAAACGTGGCCCGTTAGTAGCTACCATATCTGTTGATGCAACACATCTGTTCTATTGCGTGGACCCCATTTTTTCGCAAAAAGTCTTGGCTACTCTCGTTAATTCCGAAGTCGAACGGTTGGAGATTATATGGTGCATGGGCGTAACTGAGGTAAATCTCATCTAACTTTATATCTTCTGTTAACTGGTTCCTAATAAGAGAATCTGATTACATCAAGTGCTTTAGTATGGTTCAACTGGAAAGAGCAGACTCATCATTCAGTATGCTGTACTCTTCAGAAAGGAACATTCTTCCCTAGTATGCACACTTTGGCACGCCTTACGATTCGATTTAGTTTGTTTCTGTCTTTAATCCACGCTAGGAATTCACTTTCGTTCAGACCTTGGTAACCTGTTGTCTCGGAAGAAACAGAGTACGTCAGAGTATGCCCCGTAGACGAAGTCTACCGGGTTGTCCATGTTGTCTTCCTAATTATTAAGCATCTATTTTGGTGGCTGCAGCAGAACAACACTCATTCTTCCGTTTCAAAAGAGCTTGGTAAACAATCAGTAGTCTTTAATTGGGCAACATTTCGCTTCTAACAAAAAAGCTTGATCAGGCCAAGTAAGTACGTCATCAAGTAACCCAGCCTTTCATGTAGACGGAACTAATCAGTAAGACGTCTTCATATTAAAGCTGAGGTACGCCAGAAGAAGGAACTCTCTCACCATAGTTGAATTACTCACGCTTCATATGTTGCGCTGGTTGGGTCACGTACCCCGCATGCCAGGAGATCGTCTGCATCGCAGGGCTCTTTTCGCCCAACCGTGTACTGAGTGGAAAGGATCGGGAGGTGGACAGTGTACGACCTGGCAACGAAGTACGAAAACACTAACCAGTAAACTAAGTCGGGTGGGCAACTGCTGCCCCTCTGGATGGGGACCCAGGGACTCAAATCACCAGTGCTTGGTGGCATTGGCGGAAATGGCCCAATCGCGCGGTCACAAGGCGCTCTGCATCAGACCTATCACCTTCAATGCGTACCTACTCAATTTCCAAACAAACTGAGCATGCCTTCGCCTCTAAGGCTTGGTTCTGCATTTCACTTTCCCGTCTTCCGGTGACCGAAACTGTAACAGCTGGAACCAGTGTGCTTCTGGCACACAGTTTATAGCTGATAAACTCATTGCTTGATTGATTGATCAATGTTGAGTGGTAATTAACTGCTCTCGCAGGATAGTGTGGTTGCCAAAATATTGCATTCATGGGTTGGAGGAGTTTCAAATTATCATAAAGGAAACTATTCACAAGATTGTGGAAAACTGTTTGGCAGCCCACGACCGGTTTTGCCCTTCTTGGGACTCATCAGGTAGGTGCGGTCCTCCAGTTTCTCTACTTGAACCCTAATTGGACCGATTGCGATAAATACTTTCATTTTGCAAGTTAAATTAGTTCCGCTTACTTTCGATCGGGTTTGAATTTCTTAATCTTTCACTTCAGGGTGCTTCAACTAATGATTCACTACGGTTGCCGTTGGTAGATTTTGTTGATTTTTGTGGGGTTGAGTATGGCGACAATTCAGTTGGGGGAAGGAATACGGGCGAGGTTAAGTGCAATGCAGATGATGACCAATACTTCTGATAAGTTTCCCAATTGACTGAAGTGACTCATTCATATTTATACTCCCACCGAGTAAGCACTTGATATACCTATCGGTAGTAACTTCATATTCCACCGCCTATATTTGAAATATGGTCTAAAACATGGAACTTCATTCAAAGCTTGTTGTGAACGGGAAAACAACCCAATCCACAAATTATACAATTCAAATCCCTGGAATTGAGGTCAGAAAAATAAACTCGTGAAAAATGTGTTCACATAGACTCAAAAACCACATTTGAATTCTGTTCAGTATCCCAGTGCACTCGAACCACAAGACTTCGGAATAACAAAAGCAGAGAAAACTCACTGCCGTAACGGTTGAAGCAGCCGGGCGCCAGCGTATGTGCCGCCCATCTTTAACACCGGTTGCATTCCTGACTCAGCTGTCTTATTGATTATTTTGGTGGATTCTTTTTTGGCTGGTGTTAAGTCTGAGCGGCTTACTTTCCTGTGGCCAGTTGGATATCGTATGTGATAAAAATTTGCTTACAAACTCGTTTTCACCCGAAAAATTCAGCTTTTTAAAACAAGATATGTTATAACACTGACAGTACTAACTCCCCTGGATAAGAACTGAAAGCTTTTTCCGACAGAACCCTACCCACAAGGTTGCTGAAAACTCCTCAACACATGATTGGTGTCACCCATCTTAAGGCTCAGTCCTTGAGCTTCCGTCAACTTTGTACTCTAGTTCAACCCGAATTGTACCAAATTCGCGAAATGCACTCGGTCGCAGACCTGATTGATTTATCAAGAGGAGATCCATTTGATTTTCAGGTGAATCTCTCGTTTGTGATATTCGGCTTCCACCGAATGAACTGTTTAAAGGCTACCTCTTGATTCAGTTGGTAGGACTTTCGGGATAAGACACACAATGTTTCTGTGATATGGTTGCCCCAAAACTCGGGTTAGACGAAAGGCTTACAACATTTCAGTGAATGTTTGGTACCACTAACAGTAGAAGTGTTCTTCACTTTTTACAAATCAACCCTTCAGAGTCTGTCCACTTGATGACGCTTCATACGGATATACGCCGCATGCTCTGAGACGAAAGGGAATTTGCTTTCAGAGTTTCTGTTCCTCACTGTTGGCGCTTGATCAAAAAGGTGCAAAACAAACAAATCGAGTCCAAAACTATCATCATGCTCTATGGTTCTATTAAATTATCCAGCGTTTCAAAGGCAAACTAAGCCTAGAGAACCCACTAACCCACGAAGACTTATTTAGGGTCAAGAAAGTGTTAACTTCTAAGGGAAAGGCAGACATCTTCTATTCAGTTTAAACCAGCATCAGTGCTTCTTTGGTGGGTGTCGGATTCTCATCAGAGCCCGCCACAAGTTCTTTTTCAACTCAATTCGAAATCGGATGTGAAGTCAGGATACTGCACACTGTCAAGATATGAGCCGCCAAAGGGTTTTTATCGATCATCTGCGTAATGTGTCTATGATACCTAATGTATCTCCCACGTGTGTGTTGGGATTGAGTTGATGGTTGCATGTCCATCCAGTAAATGGTAGCTAGAAATAACGCTTCATCTTTAGGTCCTTTCCTGTGGACAGCTTTTATGCACAAACGACAGGTCACTTGCTTCATACACCCGGGTGATCAGGTGATCCTGTGTGCCAATCCAATATTTCTCAATAAAACAGTAGTAAACTCTCCCATATCGTCTACCGTTTTAAGCATGTCGCATGTCGCTGATTAGATCGAGAACGATCGATTACAGGCTATCAGTCAAATGAATACCGCTCCAGAGATAAATTGAGGATAAATTTCTACCGATTTGAAGGGTGAAAACTTGAGTTTTCTTTCCTACAATGAATGGTAAGTAAATCAGAATGCAGCAAGAACACAGGAAGCGTAGAAGAGAAGGAAAGCTCGTGACAGCCTAACGATAAAGTACCAGATGGCATTTAGCAGAGAACAAAAACGCTAAAAGCGTCCGGTAGTCAGATTGTGGGAGTACACGTTGGTCTCTTGTCGCTAAAGACAACAGAAATTAGTTAGAGTAGGACAAACAGACAACAGGATATCATAAAATTCCAAAAAGATCCTGAAATTATGTCTGAATGCCCTCGCTTTCTTCAAGTAGCCAAATACGCCACATGGATGTTGGACCACCTTTACCGATAAATTTTTCCCCCAAAAAAACTAAGATACTTTATTGGCTCGTTTTTGCGTAATTAAACGGAAAAATGTCTCAGCTGAATCCCAACCGAAGCTGTCGTTTATAGAAATCTTCAACTGAAAGTGCTGTACACGAGGTTGGTGAAAATACGGAGATTGTGTCCACCTAATGGACCTTGAGGAGGAAGAAAACGGTTGTTGGTTGTGGGAGAGTTTTCAATAGCCTGAAAACATAATGAACGAGAGATTCAGCTGGGTTCCAGGTGAGTCTCCCGCAAAACCAAATTTGTTTGCAAATGATTGTATTTCGAGAGTTTTGTGAAATTTGGGTTTAATTAGAACAAAAGATTGATGGAGCTGATTGATGGGAATGATTAGTCACAAGAAGGGCGACACCGGTCATGGGATGTCGAAGAATTTTCAGCAACCTTATGAGTAGCGTATTACGTCTACACGTGACCACAACTAGTTCACATATTATGCACCGATCTTTATTTGGCCTCCATCCGCCCCCTCCCCCTCTACATGCAGGTAACCCCGTCTTCTAGTTAGCGGTTTACACACACACACACACACACACACACACACTTCGTTATACTTAATGTAGGAAGACAATCTTCGTACACCTGATAGTGAAGTATTCACCACAGCATACACAACTGATAAAAAGATACTGTTTTGTTCGCTGGTTGTCGATTCTGTTGTCGAGTTTTTCTGTACTAACTTCCGTAGGTTCCACAAGTCCTCAATGCTTCAAAGCCAACACTGCTTCATGTAGGTAGACCAGTTTCAACCTCAGTAGCTTCCTTATTTCTGTTATCCTCTTTTGTGACCGTGCGAATGATCACCACAGTGGATAAGTGCATCCGATAAGCACAACCCACAGCAGTCATTGGCCCCGTAGAGGATTAGGTTCGTTGCCTGATGAGAATGTGCTGTCTGTATGAGTATACTAGGTGATAGCCATCAAGAAACAGCAGAGACAAGATAGTGTGATAGATCTGGGATGCATGAAGTGCCATAAGACACGTTCTATTTCTTTTGGACTTCTCCCACACACCTATATTGTTTACAGTAAAATATGAAGAAATTTGCCGTGGCGTATGAAAATAGGAACTAAACTTAAATTGTCAAGCATGCATCGGTGGTTTTGTGGCGGTTGGGCGCGCCGTCTTCACACCTTGCAAAGTTTGGCTGGAGATGCTGGAAGTAGATAATCAATACGTATACCAGAATATCGAAAGTCCTCCAGTTTCCATGGGTTACAAGAAGCTGGCTATGGTCCATATTTTCGTGGTATAATGTAGCAATACAAATAGTTCACCCACTAGAATGGAGTTTTTGCTTCATGACTTTGTGAAAATGAAAGTGGCCTAAAAATCGATATGATAAATCTGCGTCTATGCGAATGAGATGTAATATGCTTTAAGAGTTGGTGAAATTCAAGGTTAAACTTATACGAAATTTGATCAAAAGCATACGGCAATTATGAGCTCCAGTCATTGTTGGTAGATGTCACTGTATTTACCAACTGGAGATGTGGTCTGTATGTTCTTGACAGAATTTCGCACATTGATCAGGGTCCACACATGGACCCGAACGGCTGTTCCATATACTAATAGGTTTGGTTGTCAGCAGTTCGAATATCACAGTCTAAAGTACTATAATATTCCAGAAATTCACGAAAATCGAACATACTTTGAGGAAGAAAGCCAACACAGATCAGTTAGTGCTTGCTGGCTGTCAATTCAACGTAACCGACCATTACAGACTGTCGACGGTTCAGACTTTTTACTTTGTTGCCAACTTTCCTGATTCACTGGAATCCAACCGTAAGGTAATTCATGCAAGCAAATCGACAGCATCAAAGAAAGTTTCGGTAGTTCTGCTTTTATTGGAAATTATAGATACCCATTATAATATTCTTGGACGCGTTACACTTTGGTTACCCATTTGCTCAGGACCAATGGTTGGTACCAGCAGTAAACAAGGCTGACTGAAAACATTCACCATTGTTTTTACTTAGCCATAGAGTCACACCGGTTTGTTTGGTAGTTCGAAAAACATAACACAAGAATTTTAACAAAACCAAGGATCTGGAGAACGCCACAATAATGTAGCACAGGGAAGCTAGAGAAGGTAATCGGACTCACCAGGAACACTGCATACGTGCAACCACTCTCCTCCAACTTACCGGTGAATTTGGTCGCTTCTCCACAATCAAACACATTCGCTCTCCACTTTCGGTGTTCGGATAATCCATTGTGGCTTCCAAAATGTCACCTAGATAGAAACGCACTCCGTACAGCGTAACAGGAGTGCGGTGAGTATCAGTTGGATCAAGCGGTGGAAGCTGTGCGTCATCTGATCGCAAAGTCTTGTAAAAATATCTCATCTCGTTTGCTTGTGGTAACCGACCACTTCGCAAACTACACTGGTGCTCCGCCTCAAGCCATGAACCGATTTGTTCAGACCTAACCCAGGAAAAGTTCACTCGCCTCCCAGTTTGGCTAATCCGCTCGACACGTGAACCTTCAGCCCGTTCCACTCGAAGTGGTTCCTCCGAAGAAGCCAGATAAATGAGTACGCTAAGGGCGAAAAAGACGAATGAACCGGCTCGAAAACAATCCATTTGTTTAGTCAGCTCTGTCTTCGACCGAACATCACATTGCTAGTCACAGCATCTGACCCGATGTTCACTATTAGGGTCCGTTTGTGTCTGACCAATCAGCACGTGGGCAGGGTGATTGTGGGCGAGGCAAGTAGATTGGATAGCACCACCAGTTGTGTACGTAACTCACATCTCTGCATAATAATTAGCTAGCTCTAGTCAGAATGTCCGGATGTACATAATGCGAATACGATCATAGGACATGTGGGTATTGATTTCTTCCATGAATGGAGAACGTACGACTGTCGTGTCTTCATGTCAAGTCATCCAGGTTCATCTAAACCACTCATCGCTTTGACATTGTATTTCAGTCGATGGAATGGAATAGTTTTTTTCAGTATGTGAGGGGTACCACCAGGAAGTAATTTCAGAACTAGATGGCACATAGACCATTGTACAGAGAACATAAAGCTGAGAATGAACACGCTGAGAGTGTAGAGTCAATTAATGGTGCTATCAATTCTCAAGACGTTAGAAACGCAAGCCCTGACCAGTTTGTGTTGAATGGCCAAGCATCGCTTCGTCCTACTGATGTTCCACCAACTAACTCCCTTTTAGAAGCTACAAACTCAGTCTTCTTTTATCACAAACACATACTAGCATTCATAGTGTTGAATCTAACTTGATGTTATGATGAATCCCCCATTCATTTGCTTACTCCGCCTATGTACTTTTGACCTCCAGCTGTTTTGCTTATTCGTACCCCGCACTCACCTTGCCGCAGAGGACGTCCTTACCGACACTTGTGTATTGACATGTGTGTCTGTGTGTGAATGTGCGCTGCTGACCTACTTACCCATGTGCGTTCATGTCCCGTTTGCTGAGCCTGCCTTGACCTGTTTTCTCATGGGCTCCGCGTGATCGCACGTCCAACGAGAATCAAGAGACCGTCGACGGAAGGAACGACTGCAACCCACGCTACTGAGCCGCCATTCCGCTCGCCGTTGTTTGGTGTGTGGATGTTGACACTGCACTGTGCCGGTCAGTGACAGACCTGTGAACTTGTTGACGCTACGAACGTGAACAATTGAGGTTCGTTGTACACATTTGCTTACCCTTTGTGTAAATAGTAACGTAGAATTACGAAACCAATTCTTCCTTTTGATATTCGGGATTGTTGAACCTACGCGTCAGTCAAAGTTCCGTATCGGGATCCTTAACACATAGTATGAACCGCTCATCAGTTTATGGTCAGGAGTGCAGTTTAGAACCCGCGCAAACAAAATCGATATTTGGTGAGGTCAAACCCACTGTTCGGTCAAATTACTATTCCGTCCTGTATATCAGTGACAATGAGCCACAGTGGGAAAAGTTTTGCTCAGATTTATCCTCTTATGAACTATTGTGATGGGTGTTAAGAAAGGTTATCTATGGATCATAAAAAAGCGCTCAATGTGAATTCCTGCTTGAAAAACTACATCTGTGAAACACGTAATCAAGCAGGTTGTAAAGACACGTTGCAAAAAGATGCACACAAGCTGCTCGTCACTGTTATGCAAATGAGGGTGGGTCGCACGTTCCTTCGAGAGTCTGAGTAGATATCCATTGATTTGCTTTATTCCACTTCACTGACGCGCCAAAACATTCGTGCTTTTAATTCACAGGCCTGGAAGCATTCCAAATCATATCATTCCTCTGGTTGATCGATCGTCTCAACCGAACCATAGGGCATTTGGTACGTTTTCTAATCATCCGTCCAAAAGCACACTGCCATTGAAGATAAATCTAAAGCAGAATGTATTGATCGATCCTTCTTTCAGAGGACCGAAATGTTGTTGAACTAGGTCTATAGTCTTTGAGTGCACCAGTTATGTAATTGTGATTGTCAGCGACTCAATGTTCATGAGTGCTTCGTTGGACGATTGTCCACGAGAGACATCCTGAAGACACAATACCTCAGAAAGGCAGTGGAAAAGCGTCAATTTTACTCTATTCGATCCAGTAGTATAGCAAATCATAGTTACTGGATAACAGATGTCAACCGGTTTCAGTGCTCGAAGAATCAATGTGATTTCCCCTGTCAGCGGTGCAGATGACCCTTTTTTAACCCACATCCTATCAGTTATTCCGAAAGCAGAAACGCAGTACGATAGAAAAGGGTGATCTTGCTTGGGCTGGGACTGAGGCATATTATACAAATACTTTTTTGTAGTTAAAAGCTCGTGACGATGAGAGGTCAGGCATTTCAGAGACGTCCAACGATGGGTGTACACGAATCTGCGACCAGACAACCCGGATCAGTGTCAAAAATGTGCTTTAAATACCGTGAGGCCCCTTGTAACTTTTGCACCCATTTATTGGCAATAAGGCTATTGTGTCCTTTGTCAGCAAGTCTTTCTCCAAAACTAAGGCAATGGAGTGACAACAGCAGTCAGTTACCACAACAATGAATTTTCCACATTCGACTACGTGTTACATTCCGAGCTTCACACTTCCACCGTCTGTCATATCACGAGAATTTCGGAAAACCAGGGTTCCAGTCTTTCGTGCTGTGCCGCACCAACCATCTCCAAAGTAAACGGCACAGAACAGAAGCCATCGGCTTTCCTCTGTTCATCACCACCCTCCGTTTTCGCCATCCCAGTTGACTGATGCCACACTTAGCGAGATATACAGGCAATTGGGCAAACCTTACATACCTACTATATTGCCACAAAAACATACGTATTATATATTCACTTAAACTTTTTAGCTTTTGGCCTGTGAGTGTCTGTGTTGGCAAGCGCAGCACGATTGCTGCGCAGACTTCCTTGACTGATAGATCCTCCGAATGAGAAAACTGGATGGCTATACCTGGTTCTTGTTCACAGTCTCGTTATCGTGATGTTCTAATAATTCGTTAATAATCTTTAATGTTTTTAACTACTCTTCAGTTCGCTGACGTACGTCCTTGAGGATAATCTAGGCTTCTTAAACATTTCTCGCTTCGTGGTATGCTCGATATCCCTTCAGAGAATGTTGACTGATAGATGGCAGCACAAGCTTCTTCCAAATTTGAACTTATCCCATTCTATGCCCCACTTAGTAACCATTCTAGATCACCTCTCCTGTTGAGGGTAATACCAACTTTGAGGAAACTGCGTGCCAAAACAACTCAATTGTATACTACTTCACTATCCACCTCGTGTATTGGGAAGATAAGATGGGCATCATGGTTCAACGAGTGAAGCAAATTCACAGTAACACATCCTTACTTGACAGCAAGATCAGCGATCAATAAGGAACGACTAACCACACGGTTCAGTTATTGCAGGTTGCAAATACTCCACCTGACTAAGACAGTGAGCCAGAGGACTGACGTCATGAGTGCTGCGTGCAGTAACTACCGGAATCACACATCAAGAGGTTGTTGTGTCAACGACCGATTGCAAACTTCTTGCGTCTTAATAAGTAGGCAGTCCCTCAGCCTTATGTTCTGTTTGAACTCGAATCGTATGCAATTCAGCAACTTTCTGAGCAGCGTTATTTCAAGAAAATATACTGCGGTATTTCGCATGTCGTACCAGGTGAAACATGATGCGACCTTGGTAGAGCACATTCGGCTGAAGAATGGCATGAGCGGAGGGCTTAGCTCGGATTCAGCTAAGTCTCCCGTTTAGACCAGATCAGTGTACAAACGGGTGCACTCCGCATTCATGTTCCTGTTATCACTTCCTGTTCCGCACAGGCCGCTGCTATCCACAGTGTGCGCGGGCGGTCGTCGCCAGACTGTTCCAAAGCACCAACCGGACTCCTCACAAGTCACAGTTCGTTCGCGTGCTTTCCTGTATTTTTACTTTGACCAGCTGGCAAACGTTCTCGCCGCGTTGCGTTCTACGCAAGGGTACGAGGGAGGTACATTCCAATTTTTCTAAGTTTTCTGTGGGTGAAAAATACAGGGCACTCATGCGCTATCATTCTGCTGAGTTATGGAGTTATATTATTATAGAGGTGGGGACTACAAAGCCAGTACCACCTCTTCTTGTTTGAGCGAACGCAGGAGCATCTAGCTCGTTAAGATTTCACTGCCATGTTCTCAAATTATTTTCCTAGGTTTCCTAACTTTTCAGCAGTGCCTGTGTCCCGGAGTTTTATTGTTGAGGTTTACTTTAACAAAAGCTTCAAAGGCCGGGCTGTCAATGTTTGATTGTATACCCAGAAAATTGCGAGCTGAACTAATCCTGAATAGAAGTTGTTTTTCATCTCTGGTGTTCAGCTGTTTCAGAACGTTTGTAAGCAAAGCGTATTTACCAAAGAAATTCCAGATTTTATTTAGAATTATAGTGTATTTGAAACGGCGACCATTTCTCGAATGCCGTAACTTAACAACTGACTCCCGCAGTATAGTGGTTGACCTAAATGTGCCATTTAGTGTTCAGAGTTCCTGATGTAGACTGAGGGAAACTGCAAACTTCACAGTTAAGACTTACACTCAGCTCGAATAAAAATAGCTTGTGAACGGGAACTGTTGCGCATTCGGCGGTTCGTATTTCCATAAGTCATGTTTTGTCTCTGAAGTTCTGCACTTGTTGTTTAGGAGGCTTGGCGCAGAGGGACATACTCTAATGCGCGTTCAGCTTCACAGTTGAACAGGAATTTAACTCACCTACTTGAAACTCAGATGGCAAAAGATGAAGGGAGATCGTCCGCTGGAAACCCAGCGGATTTGGGTATTGCCTGGCTCTACCGTACCCGAAATTTAATTTGGGAACATTGGAGTTCCTGCATGATTCAAACCTCACTCATGAACGGTTACTCGCTCCCAAAACGACCCTATGTGGTTTCCATCAGCTCGGCGTCCACAGGCTATTCGGCTATGAAAGGCTTTCCTTCGAATTATCCAACGAATCAGTGCATTTGGGTAGTACAACGCCATCCTCCTTGATCTGTCGGTAAGTGAGCCCATGTGAACATCAAGCGTTGCTTAATGTCATTCCAAAACAGGTAGGGCAGAGATGCAGTTGTCATTTGACATAAACAACAGTGCCTCACTTTGTCGTACAGGTCAAGCAGAACATCACAAACGCAGACCAAGA